CTTATATTAATATTTTTGCACAAAAGAAAAGGTAGGCTTACTGCTTCAGCTTGCGAAATTTTGTTGTGTATCATCTTCTTTGAGAGATCATGAATAGGTTGGCCTTGAGGCATGCTTTGGCTGAGTTGAACGGAGCTGAGAGTCAGGAATATGCTGAGCATTTCCCTCGGTTTGAGGTAGGCTGTAAAAAATCGTTACTGCTGACACTTTCGTTACAATTTTCTTCAGATGGATGGCGATGCAGTCTCTGCTCGTGTCCCAGGAGCAGTCAATGGTCCTTTGAGCCTCGATACTCATGCTAGAGAGAATCAAGGGTTACTTCGAGAAGGTGGGTAACAAATCTCATTTGATCGCTGTTCTAATTGCCGTTCTTGTGTCTAGATCCTCATCAGCAGATGTTTTGGAATGTTTATAACACGAGTCAGCGTTTAGTGAGTGAACGTCTTCGTCGTGAGCGTAATGCTGGAATATCAGTGAGATGGACTGGTAAGTGGCCTAGAAGCAGTGGAATAGACCATCCAACTTCTCCTTTTTGCAGGAGCTTCCTTCATGTTATTCATGCTGTTTTTGGTAGTGTCTCCTCTGATTCACTATCATTATGTTGCAATGCCGGCTAGATACGAGGAAGAAAGCATAGTAGATTATATAACGTGAGTCACTAGCATTTACACGGTTTAACCTCACAGAAACTTCATTTATCACGTTGCTTTGCTTGACTTCGCATCTAATACGATCTAGCTTTCCCATTACAGCTGTCATGTCATTCACACCATCCGCAATCGCTCTGTAGAGTGGATCACCGAAAAAGAATATCCATCGCCTAACTATTCGAACGATGCGTCGTGGTGCTCGCTGCCTTTCAAGGATGCTCGAGATCGACTGGAAGGGATTCTTGTGGTATTCGTAATCCTGCCAGTTTTGCCTTTTCTGGTTCTATTAATGGCATTCTTGGCTGGATTGAATGGCTACGGACGGTTTGGAAAGGTAAGTCTTGACTGGCGAGTTT